CCGAGTGATGATTTGCCACCGTTCCTGAATGGAGACCTCATGCATCTTTACCCTACAGGTACCCTGCTAATACTGGTGGTCTGTTACAACAGACAAAATTTTGAGTTCTTTATTATGGGGTGAGATCTAAGATGATACTGTATATGCTTAATTAATCACTGGGGCTGAAATTACAGCCAGATACTGGAAAATAGTAGTTAATGGTATTTCATCCAATTATGTAAGATTTTAAGCCTTCACAGCAAATAAATGTGCTGAAATCTTCTTAATTTATAATCTGCATTAAAGTTGAGTTAAAAGCCATCATCAAGGTTATATTTTTATACATAAATATGTACAGCTGTTGCTTGCAGGCAACTTACTGGGATTCAGAACTGTCCATGAAGAAGGTTTATGTAGAAGATGCTGTTAAACTTGTATTCAGAGAGTATCTGGTTTGAGTCTCAGTCATGTTGTCAGCTGTCCAGATTTTTTTTCGTCCCCCCTCGGCCAGCGCAGACAAATGTCAGTCATGACTACCTCTTTCCATATACACTCAGCATTCATAATCATCTACCCATCTCATTCACTGCCTTATGACCTCTGCATTTAAAAAGGTGTTGCAAAATAACCCAAGAAACAGTCAGTCCATTAATGCAAATATGTTAATGCTCTACAACCAAACATGTAAAGCTGTTACATTTACTAGAGTTGCCCTTTTTTCTGTTTCATAGGTTCACAGATGTCATTGAGTGTACCCAGTGAAGATGGTATCAGAGACAACACCACAGAAAATGAAATTAGACCAAAAAGTGGCAGGTAAAAACTCTTAGTGCATGAATAATTGATATAAAGCATTACCTGTACATCAAGGGTTCTCCCAACCCAGTTCTGATCAGTTAAAAAATGTAGTGAAGCACAAAACAACCGCTGTAGTTTAAGAGCGGAAGCAGCAGGACTTGATGCTTGATGCTGTAGACAAGACGTCTTCAATTTTGGCATCCAAACCATCACAACTTCCTGTTGTTCTCAAAATTAACCACATTTAAGTGTTTTGTTTCGGCCTTAAGATTTTTCTTCCCACAAGGCTTGATTGCTGTAGCCTTGCCCTTGTTTCCTTGCTGGTTTGGAAGCCCCTGGGCTTCTGCCACCTCAGGTTAGATCACTCAGGCTCTGTGAACATTGGTTCCAAGAGGCTAGGCCACTTTCAGGGACTAGTCACCTTTAACACTGAGATTTTCCCAGCATGTATGATTACTGCTCAAGAAATTCTGCTTTACTGACTCCCTCATCTGTGCCTAGCTCACTGAGGCTTTCAGAATCAATTGCTGTGCAGTCGCTGGCCTTAGGCACCAGTCAACTTCCACCATGAGGGGTGTTTGTTCTTCACCTTAAGATATGGTTGTCTCACTGCCACTGGTTGTCATTCGTATGATTTGGTATCCTCCAATGTGGATATGTAATTTTTGGCTTCTTTGCCATTCCATTTGGAGGTACTCACTGCAGAAGTGCTAATGTACTTGAAGGAAGAGCCACTCATTGCCAGAGACAGTTGCTTCTTGTATATTGGAGGGTACAACTGAAGATAACTTCACCACAGCTCTACCATCCAATATGGCACTCATGCATATGGATTTAGTCTCTAAACAACTGTTATGTAACAGGCATCTCAGTAATGGCAGTAGTTGTGGGTAGGGAATAGTTAACAAGAAGTGACCTACTGCCTCTCCGTCCAGTGGTTGAAAGGAGGTGGCAAGTTAAGTACAGTTGGTATCAAATAAAGAGACTTAATCATGGACATTCTAGCAAGAAGGTTAAATTCACGGGTGATTCGGATCTAAATGGTCGAAGCCTTAGTTGATCTTCCTCATTTTATGAAGGTCTTCACCACCGTTATGACTGTCCACCATGTGCTTGGCCACAGACAGGATTAGACCACCTCTGGGGCCTGTACCCCCATGAGAAATCTCTAGGGTTTTTCTCCTAGTATTGCTTTAGTTCATGGTTGACAACCATGCAGCTTAACAGATTAGCCAGAACTAGCCATCTGTGGAACTGCAACCCAGGGGCTCGTCCAAGTAGGGGGCTAGGGCTACCTACAAATACTGTACTTTGTGACTTTGCTTTGCCATAAACTTTGCCCCACAGACCACCTCTCCCACGCCTTGCCCACTGGGCTTGGACATCTCTTTGCTCCCGCTATAATAGTTGCAACCAATGTGTACTGATGCCATTGTTAGGTCATCACTGTTGCACTTGTTATTTCCTCAATTGCCTTGCTGATGTCATCACCTGTGATGTGGCGTGAAGAACACCAATGAAATTTCAGTGCACTACAAAGAGTACACCTTTCAAAGCTTTTGCAACATCACCATTTACCCTAGAATGGCAATATAAGTTTTTGAAATGGCAGCAGTTAAGAGCAATGCTTCTTAGAAAAAACAACTTAAAATACTCGAACAGTAGCGCATCAAAAGACTTAAAACCCAGGGTTGAAGTCTGGCCAGCAGTCCTGTAGTATGGGGGGTTGAATGCCCTGTTTTCATACATTAAAGGTTAAAATTGAACATTGTCATGGCATGTTTTCATTTTTGAAAGCAGTCATGGCAAATTTCTGCTTCATAACCATGTACAGGTAGCCCTCAATTTACACCGGGGATGCGTTCCTGGACGAACCGGCGTAAACGGAATCGGCATAAATTTAAACTCTTTTATAATTTAAATCAATGGGAAGTCAATGACATGTTTGATTTTTTAAAATGTCGAAATTTGTCGTTTTGGACGATTTCCAACGTTCCCTGCGATTGACTGTGATTCTTTCATTACATTGATGTGTACAGTCATCTCTGCTGTTAATGCGATATTTGCATTCATGTAAGACGCCGACCTATACAAAATCGCGTAGTAAAAATAACCCCGGTACCTCCACAGAGACTAAATTAGTCCTTTGAAAGTTTAAAGAGCCAGGAATGAAATTGCATAAGAGCAAATTTGCATATACAAAAGTTTGCATTTCACAAACAGCTTTCACTGATTCATCAATCTCATTGGAGCAAATTCGCGTTAATGAAACGTACATAATTGTTTTTTTTTTTTTGTTCCCCCCCCCCCCCCAGGGCTACCTGTATAGTGTTTGAAAATGTGATATTACCACATTTACCCAGTCATCACAGTTTATAAGCACCTTAAATAGGCATTATCATTCTGTGACCCTGTGTGTGAAAACTGAGATTTTATATCATCTGTTTATGTGTGCCTTTCTTTGTAATGTAGGTATAGTCGAGATCTTGAGTCAGACTTTGGAAATGGAGAAACGTTGTTGAATGGCAAGTCATCAGCTAGTCTCTCTACAAGCAACAGCAGTGAAGATTTTGTGCGAAATGGTCTCAACAACCTGGTCCTGGGTCCAATTCTGTCAGAAACCGAATTAGACACTACGGACCAAACTCGGTATGTGACGATATGAGTCGTGCCATAGAACAGATATCCTTTCCACTGTAGCACGTGACAGAGTCGTATGAATAGACGTCATTTCTATATGATAATGAGATCTGAAATGATGTTTCAGGTAATGACCTTAAAAAGGATTCGTTAATATTGTTCATGTTTCCTAAGTGACATGTCTCATCATTTTTTGGGAATCCTGGAACCAAAAAAAGAAATCATCACTGCTAATGACATTTTTGGACAACGATTTATTTACATGAATGCACTTGTGCTTGAAATTACGTTTTTTGACCTGTGCCATTTTGGTTTTTTATATATATTTATATATATAATGTAAGCAATATTTGTTGTACATGTGACAGTTTTTTTATTTTTAAGTTTGTTGACTCTGTTATTCATGCTTGTTGTCTTGTTAATTGTGTATACCAAAATAATTTTTAATAGATGGCTGTTGTTGATGAAGCTATAATGTGCAATTCTAGTCCAACTGTTTTTCGGTGATTATTACCTTATTTCTTGTCAGTTTTGTAAATATATTTATTTCAAAAAGAAATGTACTGTATCATACCAGTGTACTGCATTTGTTGTATAAATTTATTTATTGCCTTCTGTAGAAAATAATTTGTATGTTCAGCTATTAAATTTCATGATGAATGTATGTTTTATCTTTTTTTACCTTTTCTGATATTTGTAGATTACAGTGAATTGGGACCATGAGCCAAAGTATTCAGCTCTTCTGTTGATGGATGTGTATGGTGGTGACCTCATACTGGGTGAGGGCCAATGGAATTAGTGAGTGGTGCTAGTGGCAGATCAGTATCCATTTTTTCCCATCCTTTCTGATCAATGTCTAGTGCAAAGGCGTGGGGAGGAAAAAATGAGTGGGATTTTGGGGGGGTCTTCTGTTGTTCCTTTGCCTGGCAAGGTTGAGACAGACAGACTTTCTCTCTCTCATACAGCCTTGAGGTAATTTTTTTCTAGCCTGTAATTCCCCCCCAAGCTAATGCTTTGGTTGGTTGGTTGGGATGTAAGTATGCATTGTCTCCTGTTTAAGGACTGGTAGTTTTGGGGTAGTAGAGGGATGAATGAATTGCTTTGTAAGCATACCTCTTCTGTGTGGGGCAGGCTTTGGAGCAGATGGATTGTTTAATGGTTAAAAGGTTTGTTTTACTGGTTTTCTGTTTGTTAAAGTTACATGAAGCAATGATTTGGACCCAGTTTTTTTTAACTGTATATAGAGAGCTAATTGAATATTATTATTATTTCTTCATAATAATAATAACAAGTTTAAGCTGGTTTACATGTTGATAGTAGTATGCCTATGAATTTATTATTGTAGGAGCCATCCTGTAAGTACATGTCTCAGGGAATTGAGGTAGTGTTTAAAGGAGGCTCTTTTTCTGCTAAATGCAGAAAAT